TATTTTTCCATTGGACTCTCTTCTCAATTCTCATTTCTCTACTCGACCTTGTCTTTGTGTTTCTCGTCGGACGTCGTCGCCGACTATCTCTCTGCTCGGTGTTCCATTCCACTTATATCGGACTTCTCTTCTCAGTGCTGCATTGTTTTTCTGCTCGGCTTCTTTTCTCTTATTAGTTTGGAACAACCCGAACTCAACCAAAAATTTTTTAGGTTAGATTGAATTGATAATCTAAACTTTTGGGTTGGTCCAAAAAAATTATTCAACCCAACCAGACCCGAACCATGTATATCTCTAACAAACGATACCACAAAATACAAAATAAAATCCAATTCTTAATTTTCGAGGCTTCAAACCTCGGACGAACGGTGACTAAAATGAAAAAAAAATATTAAAATATTAAAACAAGAAAAGAAAAGACATTAAAATATTAAAAAAAAAATGGAACTAGCAAACAACACGGCAAAATACAAAAGGAACTTCCGTTACAAGAAGCTGTCATTCGAATTTATTACAAAAGAGGAAATGGATTTGAGATACAATTCGAATCAAAATATAAAATACTCAAATACAAAGTTGAATTGACGCTTTAGAACCATCCTCTTTGTGACTGCACATCTTTGAACACTTTTCCACCTCGACCAGCAACCTGCGAACACCTATGAAGAATTTGGAAAAGTGTGAGTATAAAATACTCAATAACCAACCTACCTGGTTGTTTTTTTTTTTTTTTTTCCTTAATCTCATATTAATTAATTTTAATTAATTAATTGAGGTTGGGAGGATAACAAACCTATATTTAATTATTAACCATTTTCAGTATTTTGAACCGTATAAGGTTGAGAATAACGATTTCACCGACTTTTCAATCACTCAAATTAGAACTAAAACGAAAAAATTATAGTCGAGACAGCATACCCGACGTGATAATATAACAGCTAAATCAAAATGATAGACAAATCAAAGTATAAAATTTATTATTATGGAAGAGTAACCCATGGTAGAATTTTTCTTATTATTATATTCATAAATAAAATTATTTATTTAAATTTGAATCAGTTTACTCACATCTATTATTATAGTTTGAAATTTTTGAAAATTTACGTTACTCTATTAGTATTATATTAATATATAAAATAAAATTTGAATTTTTCATTTCATTGCTCACGTCTATTTTTATTATTTTTATATTATATTATTATATTTTAAAAAATAATAATAACAAATTATAACTTTTTTATTATTTACTTTTAATCTCTACCTTTCATTTCTCTTTCAACACACTCCAATAATTAATATTAATTTCTACATTTTGCCAACTTTCTTTTTTATTTAAGTTCATTTACTTCCCCACATTTTTTTTATAGACAACTTCTATAATTCTTCATCTTCAATTTTCATCTTCAATTTTCTAAAACTCTATTATGGCTCTCTCTAAGTTTCCAATTTTATTTTTCTAAAATTATATTGTTGCTCTCTAGAAGTTTCCAATTTTATTTTTATTGATCTTATTTTTAAGAGAAATTTCTTTTATTATATTGTAAGGAAATAGTTGTGAGTGCACCAAATTGTAAATCTACTATTTGAAATAGTTGTGGTCTGTGACTACCAAATTCAAATATTTATATCTGTTTGATCCTGCGTCGTGAAAATGATTGAGTTTGCTCTTGAACTCGTAAAAAGAGCGATGTAGCGGTTTGACTCTGATCCGTAAAAAGAGTCGAGAAAGTTCTTTATTCAAATTCTCAAGAGGTCGAGTTTGACGAACCACTACAAAATACGTCATATTTTCTAACTTTTTCTTATTTAATTTCAAAATTATTATGGTGATTTATTGCATGTTCTAGTTGATTATTGTTTTGACTTGAATTATTTAGTTCAAGTAATTATCATCTTCTACTTATTTGTAAAAAGTTTCAGAAAAAATTAATCATGTTTAAATACTTTTATCATTAAAACCCTATTCACCCCTCTAGTGTTCTCATACCAATCCAACAACTTATAGGCAGAGAGCTCTCATTACATCTTTAACCTAGTAGGTATCCACAAGCTTTACTCTGGATTCTAGGAAGTTCGAGTCTAATCTTTCTGCTATTTGAACATCTAAAGTGCCCCCTACGAGTTTGTACAGGTTTATAACCTTTTTGCTCTTTGACTTAGGTAGCTTGTTTTACTTGCACAGTGAATGTTCGGTGTCTTAGGTTGAGGTGCTACCTCATAGAACTCTCTTTCCAGTGAGAATAGTGTGATGTGCGCTAACTTGCTCGTCATCATCGAAGGTTAACTGGCGAACCCTTCCATAGGACTGTAAAGTCACCTTGTGTGTGTGATCCCGTGTATCGCCAGCCAACTACTGAGTAAACCTATGTGGCTCTACGCCCCCACTTAGGGTGGGTTTATTATCGCAAATCTTTCACTAGGTAGGGCGACTAGTCACCTTGGTGCACTACCCTAATCAATGTAGGCCTAGCTAATTAGTACTAGTACTGAAGTGGAATGGGTAGCGGGGGCCCTAATGACACCTTAAACTGATGACACTGTACATGCTGCTGACAACCTAGAGAGCTACCTTTGACATTTTGGATATCGTGGAAGTCTACTAGATTCTTAGGGATGTCTAGACAGCTTAACGCTCATTTCTTGTTTTCGAGACATATAGGACTAACTCCTCGAGTTATTTCATACTCTGGGTGCACACAGGTCTAAGTCTCTTATCGTTGCTCACAATCTGAGGACACAGTATCTATTGGAAACGTACTTACCTAGGTCAACTTGTAACCACTCTAACTCTAGTGTCCTAGTCTTAGCTTGGTTATCTTGTACATGTTTTGCTAGGGGGACTATCCTATTGAACACTTAGAGCATGGTATACATAATCTAAACATTGGTGCAAGTTTATTAGGAAGATAACTTCCATCATTAGTCCGGAACACAAAGTTTATTAGGAAGATAACTTCCATCATTAGTCTAGAACACAGATCACAATAGCTCGTCCTTCTTTCTAATGCAACATAAAGCATTTAAAACAATCTACATCACAAATCTCATCATACATCACAATCTCATCATAAGCACATTTAAAACAATATACATCACAAAATAGTTCTCCTTATGGTTCTAAGAAACTTCGGTTCATCTCAACTCCTATTTAGGCATGGGAGTAAAATGACCATTTTACTCTTTAGATTGACTTCTCTTCTACCTTATTTTAAAACTTCTGTCAAACTTGGGGTGATATAATACTTTTAGCTTTTTCCCCGATATTTTTATCACATAAAGGACAGAAGAATTGAACGTTAGCATAACAAACTTGACGTGGAAAAACTAAACTTTGTGAGATATGATAAAAAATGGTGCTAAATGGATGCAATAGTAGAAATGATGCATTAGTATCGACACGTAAAAGATAGTTGTTATCGAATGTGTTAGTTCAAGTATAAATCAACACGCCAGCAAGTAATACCTAGAAGATTCACAGTCAATCTACTGAGAAAATTTGTTTAAATTCACACATTAATATCAAAACTTGTATAAATCATGAACCAATGATAATTATATATAAAAATAGCTCGAGTTTGACAATATCAAATAACATAAACAAGACCGTCACATTAGAATAACACAAGTGCGAGTTTCACTACTTTGTCATCTCTCCGAAGAGAAAATTAATGAACTTCCTCCCAATAACTTAATAAAAATAGTTATTAATTTGAATAAGTGTAAAAAAAAGGGGAGTAAGTGGATATAGTTAAATGTTCATAAATTTAACACTTTTAACAACATCGACAATTTATTAAGTTATTAATTCGTAAAACTTATGAAGAAACTGGTTTAAAGGTATTACACGTTCTTCAATTTTTTATAGAAACAAGTCAGAGTGTCCATATACTAGTTGAATTATAAAAACGGATCAATGATTGGCAAATACGATATCAACTAGATATGCTTCGAGGTCAAGAAGATAAAAATTTGATTGAAAATAGATTTCATTGCAAAACAACATAAATATTCATTATCCATCTAAAAGAATCGAATAATTCTTTCGATCTTTTCCTCTCAAAATTGAAAGTGGATGGAATTAATAAACTAACTTCAAGCTTAACACGAATATCAAATGAAATATAGATATTATAACTCTTCAAATCATTAGCAAATGGTTCTTCCTCCAATCCTTTTATTCTTCTATTACTTCACGATCATGATCAATGGATCAATGGAGCTTCTTGTTTCTGAAATTAAAAATTAAAAAAATTAAAAAAAAATCATTGGGTTACAATCTAACATGAACAGTAATATAATATTATTCCTGTTTTTGTTGGGGTGTGAGAGCCAATGCTGAGACATTGGTGCAGCTTTAGTTTGGAAGAACAAGAAGGGTGGCTTTCAAAAAGCTTACAAGACGATGAGTTATATTGTTTTTTTATTGAAACATATAGCCATTCATTGACACAAGAATCCAGCCCAAGTGTGGGGCCTCTATTCATCGATAATGACATTCCTCTGCTCATATACTTACAAACTGTATAATGACATCCGTTTCAAGCTAGCTAAGGGATCATTTACAAGCCAATGGTGTGGCTAGGGTTTCTTGAACTCAACTAACCAACTATTTTGTATAAACATGGACGAACGGATGAACGTATGACCTTCTACTTTGATCGATACGTTTAGCTACATTACTATTATAGATTATGATCAGATATTGATCGAGAGAAAATAAATTTCAAAGATGGTATGATGATGTAAACGTTCTACATCATCAAGAACAAAACTTAGATATAAATGAGGAGAACCTAATGAGTAGGATATTTTGGTTTTATGTACTTTCATTAACCTGTTTCTATTGCAATAAATAGATACGGACTTCTACTAAAACTTTTGAGCCATTTGAAGGTTACGAGAAGTTACTGTTGACCAGGGTGTATAAACGAGTGTTTTTGGTAACGACATTATCATGATTCTTTTTGTATGCATATTTTTGCCATCAATGATCACGTTACCTTAGTTACTGGCTCCCGAGTTTCGATACGGGTAGGGAACACGGCCCGACTCAATGAACTTGACATCCTCCACAAGAAGTTGGTAGTGCCTTTTGACCTCCTCTTCAGTTTTGCCACCAACAGCTCTTGCAACATTGAGCCATCGGTCAGGTGTGTCTCGGTCATACCGTGCCAAAGCCTCCTCAAAGGCTTTGTTTTGCTTTGCAGTCCATGAAGCAGAGCCATGGGAAGACATGGAAGCCATGATAATAGTATAAAAATAAGGAAGAAAGGGCTCAAAAGGTTGCAAGGGAAAGAATGGCAATGTGTGTGGCAAAAGAGAGGGCAGTGGGTGGTCTTTATAAGAAGGATTGAGAAGGTTGATAGGTGGGGCAAATCCAATTGGGCTACGAGAAATGTTATTACCTTTAAAGGGCATTTCAATGATTTGTCTCCTTACAAACCATGAGATTTAGTAACGACAAAAGATGCAACAACACTTGGAAATGGAGAATCAGTATCTTCTAGAGTGTTTTGAAGTATTTTTTTTTTAAAAGAAAAGATCGGAAATCGGAAGTATTTTAGTTATTTATTCATTTGGACGTCAAATAAGAATCAAAATGTTACAAAAACTGAAGTAAATGGACTAAAAATGTCGATAAGTTTTAGAATGTACTTTTAAGAAAAGAGAAACCTCTCTTCCCGATGAACTACGGACCTACTTAGCTATAACATTCGAGCTGAGGTTGACTCTCGTCACAAAACGTGTAGCACTAGATGTCAAATTGTCACACTAGCTTGACTTCTTGGCTAATGGTAATTTTCCTACATCTTTCTCTCATGCGTTTGATAGCGGTTGATGTCAGTTTGGTTTTTTAACTCTTTTGAGCATCCATTGTTGATCAATATCATCTATCCACCTCAAATATAGTTGTTGTATCACTTTTGCCTATCGTCGACGCAACAAGGAGGATTCCAATGCTTCAGGTTGGTGGGTTTTCTCTTTGATTTTCAATCGTTGCATATCATGCCTCGCCATTGAACATGGTGATCTCTATGTTGGACGTTAACCAAAACCACAGTGAAGGTTTTGTTGTCTTTTCCCTTCCTTTATCCCTCCCAGGTTGTAACTTGTTTCTTTAACACTTTTGTCACAACTTTGGTACAATAGCTAATGATTCTAAATCTTGAACGTTCAACGTACTATCTAGCAAAGATTTACAACCTTCTGTTGAGTATCAGAATTCTTGCCTCTCTTGAATTCACTTCAGTGAATTGAATTCTAACACAAATCTTATTGCGTTAGGCTCAATTGTTTACTAAAAAGGAAGTAATCACATTATCAACCAACTTCCATATAAGAACTAATTTGATCTCGACTTCTTTCACAGATGTACTGTGACTAATAAATCATGAAGTGTTCTTAAATTTATTATTTTATGTGAAGAATGTTGACCATAAGTTTTAATCTCCCATTAAGAATCAACCGTTGGTGTAAAATATACTTTAATACAAAAAATAAAAAACTAAGAAATCAATGATGAAAGAGTTGGGATACTTGACAACTATCACGATGTTATTATGGGCCCATCTTATGATTGATTGAAGAATACTTTTTGGGAAATATTCAATACAATAAAATGATTTATACAACTTGGAACATGTTTTATTATTATTTTTTTTTTTTTTGAACACTTAATACCAAATTTCTTCATCCATTTTAATTTGACTTGTACCAATAAAAATATTGACATCTCTAATAAATCTTTGATAATGGTATCTTTTATGGTTTATAAAATTTCAAAAATAATAATAATAAGTTGAATCGAGTATGTAATTTAGCAGATTAAAATATTAACCGTCTTTCTTGAATTTAACGTTTAAATCCTTAATTTTATATATTTTTGATAAAAAAAATTTGATGTTCGAATTCATCATTTTAGGCATTTTAAAATAAAATAATAATAGAAAAAGGTTTTTAAATAAAATTCTGTATGGTAGGGTAAGCTTTTGTTGGCCTCTTCCATGGAGGTTGGTGTGGACCAAAAAGGCAAAAACCAAGAATCAATCCCATTGACCGTACACAGCTATTATGCACCAAACTCCTTTTTATCTTTCTTTCTAAGTATATCTTTCCGTAGTATAAAAATTCGTCTCACTTACTAATATATTCTTAAAGTTTTAAAATACGGTAAAAAATAACATATTCTTAAAGTTTTAAAATACGGTGAAAAATTAATGGATTTGAGCTTTTATCTTTATAATTGAGGTTATACACGTCTATTAAGTTATAATCAACTTAGTAGAATTGAGTAGAGTTCGATCTTTGTCTACTTGGTCAGATGCATTATATTCATAAGGTATCCTATGACTAACATTCCCAAAATTCCTTTTGGCCAATTTTAGTTCTTTGAATGATTTTATTCAAGTGATTAATCATCTTCAAACCTGAAAAATGTTACGATATTTAGTTGATTACTCAACTTCTCTTAGTGTAAGTATCAGGTGAGATAATTGTAGTTTTTAGAATAGTTTTTGACAAATGTGCTTTTAGATCAACTGTCATGTACAAACAAACTAGGGTTCTTGATACTTTACGAATCCGATCAAGAAAACCTATCACTAATCCCCTAAATAGCCTACTTTTGGATGAAAAACTCTTGTGTTTTGTACCACATTTAAATGATTTTGATAAATACAAAGAATCTTGTGCACTTTTTTGGGAAGAAGATTCAAAGGGAATTATCAAGAATATTGCCCACTTGGAGTTTTGTACACTTTCCTATTAGCCATTATTACCCAAAGGCATATCAATTACAAAGAAAGGTTGCCTATCTTGGGATCAAGAGCTTGATTATGAGAGTTTGGTAAGGTATTAATAAACTTCTATTTGATACTCATATGAGTTTTAATGTTGAAGAACACATAATTTGATAAGCAATAGGCTACACTATAATATCTATTGGAATATATAGTAAAGAAGGCAAGAGAAACAAAACAAAGGCATCAGGATCATAAAAGCTAGGGTTGTGTCCTTCCTTGGCTTTAAGCTCCAACTTGCTGTAGGGCAGCCCCTCCAAGTCTATGGCAATAATGTGATGTCTCACATTAGTTGGGGAAGAGAACAAAACACCCTTTATAAAAGTGTGAAACCTTCCCCTAGTAGACGCGTTTTAAAGTCTTAAAGGAAAGCCTGAAAGAGACAATATCTACTAGCTGAGATCTGAATCTTTACAAATATCTTCTCACAATTGAGTTTATTTTATTCATTTAATATAGAATCCTCTAAACTTGTTGGGTCAATTTAAACCTTAGTGATGGGAATGGGCAAACTATGAGTCATAAACACTAGGACTTTATATTAATTAGAGATAGCTCTCGTAATCCTCGTTATTAGACTGTTTAAGATAGTGTTGGGGTCTAGATCAGACCGACCTAACCTTTAATAGTTACGCCCATGTCCTAGCCCTTGAATTTGACTCAGTTTAGGTCGACTTGTTAGATTAGTTCTCATTGGACCAAATAGCGTGACCTCGATCTTCAAACTAATGATCTATATCCAATCCAATGAATAAAATGGTTGAGCCATGTCAGTCAAACTTTAAAATTGAGCTAATCTTAGATCAAGCCTGAACTGGAGTCAGGTCAATACTCGAGCTTCAGGTCGGTTGATAAGGTTGATTCTAGGACATGATTTTTGAACCTTCTTTCAATTTTACTTAGAAAAAAAAAAAGTTGCATAACAATCATTAAGATGTCTTTTATTTCTACACTAATTTTTTTTTCCTTGTCGAGCTAATGTCGAACGTTAATCGTATTTTTTAAGAATTTACAAAAAATATATATCCTAAAGTCATAGGAAGGTGACGACATATCATGATAATAAGATTCTCTAGTGATGATTAGTCGAAAACGACATCAAATAAACTTTTATTTAGAATCTCTTTCAAAGGAAACGCTTATGTTTTTACACATCCTCATATCATAACTTGGATTCTTTATGATACCCAATTCCACCCTCCATTCAAAGGCCACGTTTATACCTATACACACTATTCTCTTCTTGTGCGGTCCTCTCGAACATTTACTTCAACTTGTTATGAAAAAATAATTGTATGATTCTCGAGTAAATGAGGGATACATGAATGAACTGATACTATATCCAAATGAGAACAATTTTAAGGATAGATGACTAAGAAAGGTTTAAAATAATTAAAGGTTACTAACTCTGCACCATCCTTTTCAATGACTCAATCAAATGAACTTCAAAATTAAACGTGGTTTGTTTGGAGCATTTATATGCTAGGTGATCTCTTGAAAATTTTCCTAGTGACTCAAGAAAAAACATATGGAAAAATTTTCACTCTTAGAAGTAATGAATAACTAACTGAAAGGGATGTAGAAAAATGTCGGACCCTCAGGTGTTAACTTCAGTAACGGCCCATGTCCACTGTTAGAAGATATTGTCCTCTTTGGGCTTTCCCTTTTAGGCCTCCCCTCAAGTCGGACCCTCAGGTGTTAACTTCTGTAACGGTCCAAGTTCACCGCTAGAAGATATTGTCCTCTTTGGGCTTTCCCTCAGGTGTTAACTTCTGTAATGACCCAGGTTCACCGCTAGTAGATATTGTCCTCTTTGGGCTTTCCCGTTCGTGCTTCCCCTTAAGTCTTTGAACGAGTCTACTAGGGGAAGGTTTCCACACCCTTATAGAGGGTGTTTCATTCTCCTCCCAAACCAATATGAGATTGTGTCCAAGAAATGTGGGATTCTCACAACTTCGAATTTATCCAAATCTTCAGCTTGAGTCATTACAACTTGCACTACATTTCTTTGTTTATAAACAAAATCCTTATCGACAAGTCCAAATTTTAATTAGGAGTTAAATATATTTAACAGAAAATCGAAGTAAAAATTTAAACTAAAATAAGATTTAAACCTCAAAGGTAATTGAACATGTTCACACGAACAAGGAGATATCGTTGTCGGTGAAGAAAATACCAAACCGACCTAAGCAATTTTTGTCACCACCTATATATGGTCCTTCAATTGGGTGCAAAAAGCATAAAAGATTGTGTTATATTCATGCAGAATCTTTGAATGAAAGGAGCCAAAGAATTAAGAACTAAATGGCAAATGCAATATGTTTGGATGATGAAAATGAGAGAAGGAATTATTTAACGTCATGAGTTTATAAATAAAGAATATTATCTTAGTTGGTATGAAAAATTTAAAACAAAATCATGAGAGTTTATATTCAATTCTAACTGTTCGAACAAAAAAGTTGTTAGCTTCGAAGGGAGGGTTAACCTCAGT